AATATCCGGTCTGGATCATATATGGAAGTTCCTGTCCATACGTTTTGATGATTGCACCTGTTTTATGATATGAACAGTCAGTATCAGGGTATATGTTAAACTGTTAGACTAGTTGACAGGTAGACTTTACCTGAGGAAGACCTCTCTTAAGGTTGAAACTTGTTGTGCTTATTACTATGGCATACCAGTTACCTTAATGTAAGGCTTTTATGTTTATTTGAAATATATGTTACTGATTTTTATTCTAACTGGTTTTGCATCTCCCATTTTTCACTACTGAGGATTGAGTTACTTTTAACAGTCCAGTGGAATTCCAGCATCACACCATATAGCTGTAATTACCTGAGCCAGTTATATAGACAGAAATGTGATAATCAAAAGATTCCAGTTGTGACTGTTCCATATATTATTGAAATTATATTGCCCTATGAAAGTTTTCTGTCTTTTATTTCTGCAGTCATACCTGCTACAGAACACCCTTTTTGGCCTCTTTGATATATTTGTAATACATTCTATATTGTTTCATGCGCTGTACACTATTTTATATTTCTTGATTCTATTTTTGGTGGGGTTTACGTGATTAATTCCATAGTGTATTCTAGCTGCAATTTGTTTAAGCGCCAGTTTATTACACACCAATATTGTATATTTCAAATGGTGGCATTGTAATACTTTCCATGCACTAATTCTACCACCTGTCTTTGTCAAACTTTTGGGTAGTCATTTTTTGGGGGTTATTTTTCACTCACATTGTACTTTAGGCATGGATTCTCAGTTCCTGTTATGTGTTACTGACAAAGAACACCCCAATATGTGTTCAGTAACATCTCTCAATGTACAGGATTTATGGGCTTTTGCAAACTTACAGGGGTCAAATGTAGGGTTTTCCCCTTTTCCATGTTTGCACATTGAAATTTGCCAGTTTGGTTTGCTGGGCCTATGTTGCCTTTGAGACCGTATAACAGCCCAGGAATGAAATTTAACCCCATCATGGCATGCCATTTGTAAAAGAAGACAACCCACGGTGTTTTGTAGTAGCCACTTAGCCACAAACGCTAGCCAAAGTTAGCATTCATATTTGTTTTTTACACAAAAACTGTACTTTTACTGGTGATTTCATCATCGTGATAAGTTTTACTTTTTTAAACACTCATATTTGTGTTCAGCAAAGTCTCCTGAGTATAACAATACCCCCCATGTACAGGTTTTATGGTATTCTGGTGCTCACCCGATTCAGTTTGCCAGATTGGTTTGCTGGGTCTATGTTGCCTTTTGAGACCATATGGAAGCCCAGGAATGTGAAACAACCCCATCATGGCATACCATTTTCAAATGTAGACAACCTACGGTATTCCAAATGGGGTATTTCCAGTCTTTTATAGTAGCCACTTAGTCACAAACGCTGGCCAGAGTTAGTGTTTTTATGTAATTTTATAAATGTTTTTTGTTATTTTTCAATTTATATTATATATAAATGCGTGTGTGTGTGTATATATACTGGAAGGCTTCGCCTGAAGTTGTGGGTGGGGCTTATGGACCTTTAATGGGATTCTCTCCTTCCCTACACTATCGTGATTGGTCTATACGTACTGCTGCCAAGTACGCTGCTGACCGCCATTTTTTGCCGCCGGGAACACGCTGCTCTCCAGTATCAGGGTCATCAGTGCCTAGCCACACCACTCAGGCTCCAGTTAACACCACTCACTCTCCGACACGGAACCCATGACTGAAGGCGCCTTTCAGTGACGGAGCGGAGTATTTTTTTTTTTGTCTCCTTATATTAGGTGTGCGCAGGATGTTGTGTGTGGTTTGTTTCCCTAAAGTCCGTGCGGGGGGGTCGTCTCTTCACAGTCTAGTGTTTCCTGCATTGGAATATTGTCAATATGCCTATCCATGGGCCTCCCTGTGGGCCTAAGCTAGTTGTCTGTTTGGTGCCTCGCCTACGACCTCCACTGCTCGGCTCGCCTCTGGTGTGGATGGAAGGGCAGGGGAGGGGAGGACCGTGGGTGGATGTAGAGGTGGAGGGGAGGGCCGGCGGGCCCCATCCCCACCCGCAGGCCCCAGGCAGCCCAGGTCCGGCGGGCTCCTGCCATCCGTGTTGTGTTTTACCCGCTCTGGTTATCTTTTGGCCAGATAGGATCCTGGGGGGTCCAGCACTGTTGATATTTTTACATGTTGTTCCTTATCGCCGTCGTGAGCCTTTCCATCTCGTGTAGCTCTTTGACTTTATCCATCCCCTGCCGGAGTGTGGGTGTCTGTTCTGATTTCCATCTGATCAGAACCTTTGCCGCGTTGAGGAGGTGTTTTGTCAAGGATTTTTTATACTGCGAGAGTGGTGTCTGGGTGTGGTGGAGCAGCATCTGGAGCAGTTGAAATGGGAGTTTGGTGTCCTGTATCTCTCGGATATCTCTGTGGATCTCCCGTTAGTAGGGGCTATCCTTTCGCACGACCACCAGATGTGGAGGTCTGTTCCTGGTCTCTCCCCACATCTCCAGCATGTATCTGGGACTGCGGGCAGCATGCGGTGGAGCCTTTCCGGGGTGCGGTACCAGCCAATGAGTAGTTTGTAGTTTAGTTCTTGTAGTTTGGAGCACATGGAGCTCTGGTGCGTGAGAATATATATTTTGGTCCACTGGGCGTCGATGAGCTCTGTTCCCGTCACTCTCTCCCACCGTGCTGTGTGTTTCGCTGGCTCGAGCATAGAGTAATGGACTGAGATCCCCCGGGGGATGTGCGTCCCGCTGTCGCAATATTTCTCGAACGCTGTAAGGGACCTGTGAAAAAGATGTCTCCTTTGTTGGGCATTATAGTAGGTCTTGATTTGGAGGTACCAAATCTCTCTAGCCCTGTTGGGGTCTCGTTCTCCATTACGTCGGGTAGTTGTTTGAGTGTAACTGTGGTGCACCATTGGTGTATGTGGGTTCGGCCTGCTCCGCCAAAGGCTGCCACATCCTTAGGTAGGAGCTCCCCTGCTACCTCGGGGTTAAAGAGTACCGGGGTCATCGGCCCTGGTAGTGTGGTAAGAGAGAGTTTTGTCCGAATTGCTTTCCAGATTTTCAGTGTTGCTCCGATGAGTGGGTGGTTCTGGGCTTGGGTATCCTTCATGAGGTCGTATGTCCAGACTAGTGCCGGGATCCTCTCCTCCATCTGTGCCTTTTCCATGCGTATCCAGTGCTTGGGCGTGTGTGGGTAATGCCACTCGACAATACATAATAGGTGTGTGGCTCTGTGGTACTCCCTCATCGATGGTAGACCCGTTCCTCCCTGTTCCTTCAGTCTGTGAAGCAGAGTCCTATGAATCCTGGGCGATTGGTTGCGCCATACAAACTTAAAATTATCCGGATCTAGTTGTCGGAAAAAAGTCGTGGGTAGGCTGATTGGGATCGTTTGGAATAAATACAGTAGGCGGAGGAGGAAATTCATTTTGACGGCGTTCATTCTGCCGAACCAGGAGACACATAGGCTAGACCAGCGTACCATGTCTGTCTTGAGTTGTAGTGTGAGCGGAGCAAAGTTATGGGTGTATAGGTATTTGAGGTCTGTCGGGAGCCAGATACCAAGGTACTTCAGTTTGGTGGTGCACCACGTGAATGCGTATTGGGTGCGTAGGTGAGTGGCCTCCTCCGATTCGGTCGCAATGAGCATTGCTTCTGAATTGTCGGTGTTAAGTTTTAAGTTCGATACCTGTCCGTATTCCTGAAATGCTTTTAAGATGTTCGGTAGTGACACCGAGGGGTTGCTGACAAAGAATAATAAGTCGTCGGCGTATGCCGCTATCATGTGTATGGTGCCCTTCAGGGTGAACCCAGAGATGCCCCAGTCCCGTCTGACTGCCCCCAGGAACGGTTCCAGGGAGAGGGCAAACAGGAGGGGGGAGAGTGCCTCCCTTCCAGGGATGAATCCCACCTGATCTGGGTCCACCAGTTCCGGGAAAAATCCCTGTATTCGTGTGGCCAAGACTTTGGTGAAGAGCTTAAGATCTGCGTTCAGGAGGGATATCGGCCTGTAGCTCGCACATAGCGTGGGGTCCCTCCCATCCTTTGGGATAATCGTCACCGTTGCTGCCAGGGTATCTCTGGGGAATGTGCCTCCTTCCTGTATTGAATTTAGGCTTTTAAGGAGCTGTGGTAAGAGTACATCCCTGAACTCTTTGAGGTATCTGGCCGGTAGCCCATCCGGGCCCGGGGCTTTATTCAGCTTGGTGGATTTCAGGGCCGCTTGCAATTCCCTTTTGGTAATGGGTGCCTCTAACTCCGCCGCCTCTGCTTCGCTCAGGATCTTCGTGATATGTTGTTGCAGATATGCAGTCCTTCATGTGGTTCTGTCTCCGGAGATTCCTGGCATCTTAGATTGTAGAGATCTGTATAGTATCTGTGGAATTCTGCCGTTATTTTGTCCAGTAGGTGGGTGGCTGTGCCCTCTCTCGTTTGAATTTTGGTGATATGACTCAAACGCCTTTGTCTCTGTAGTGCTCTGGCTAGGAGCCTCCACATTTATTTGAATATTCATAGAAAAAGTGCTTGGATTTGCGGATCGTGCGTTGTAATTGTTGGGACAAGAGTTCTCTGAGGGCTTGCCTCACTTCGAGTAGTGCCTTGTAGGTAGCATCTGTTTGGGTGGATTTGTGGGCGTCCTCCAGCTTCCCAGTTGTACTAGTTAGTTCCTCCATTTGTCTTTTCTGTTCTCTTTTTCTCTGTGTGCATACTTTAATTAGGTGTCCCCTCACCACACTTTTATGTGCTTCCCAGGTTGTCGGCGGCGGGGTGTCCAGCGAGTTATTCTCCTCAAAGTATGTGGTGATAACAATTCGGAGGTCTGCCACCATAGGTATCTCTGTTAATATGGATTTGTTCATCCTCCATTGGTATCCTTTGGGATGGAACAACAGGGATTTTATGTTGATGGAGATGGGTGCGTGGTCCGACCATCCTGCCGTCTTTATCTCTGCTGTTATAAGCAGTGGCAGAAACTCTTGCGCCAGCATGATATAGTCTAGTCTGCTATATCTTTGGTGGACTGTGGAGAAGAAGGAGTAATCACGGTCTTTGGGGTGTAGCACCCGCCCGCTGTCCAGGTTCTGATGGGGGATCAAGCTGGTCCCCCAGGAAGTGTCCAGCCGTGGTTCAAGGGCCATGTTCAAGTCCCCCGCCACCATGAGTAGGCCCTCTCTGAATTGTTCCAGTCTGTGCAGAGTGCTCCTTAAGAAGCGATGTTGTCGGGTGTTGGGAGCGTATATGCTTGCAAAGGTGTATTTTGTGTCTGCGATCGTACCTTTGATGAACAGGTAGCGTCCCATAGGATCTCCAAATGTCTCTCTGCATTGGAACGGGATCGTCTTTACGAACAGGATTGCGACTCCCGCCTTCTTGGCTGTTTCATGATTTGCGAAGTATCCGATGGGGTATCTCGAATCCCGGAGTGTTGGTCCTGTTGTCCCCTTGAAGTGCGTCTCTTGTAGCATCGCGATGGACACCTTAGACGCCCACAGGGATCGTAGGATGTGCGACCTTCTATCTGGTGCGTTCAGGCCTCTCACAGTATGCGACCAGATGTGCAGCGGCGCCGGTCTGTACCCCGCAGCCGTGGGGTCACTGCCCAGGGCCCCCAGGGGGAAGGGAGGGACCTACCGCAGTGGGTGGAGGGACCTACCCCAGAGGTCAGGGGTGGGGGGAAGTCAGCCTGATGCAGAGGTTGGGTTTGGTGGCGGTGGCATGTTTCTTTCTGTGTGTTCAAGTTTATGTCGTTCCCCCTGCTTGGGGACCCACTCAAGGTGATGCCGAGCAGTACTCGTCTCTCCCCGGTTTGGGAGGTTACAGTAACTTGGTGCCTGTGGTCTGGCGGAGTGTGATGTCCCCATGTGGGGGCAGTCTCTTGCGCCCACACCAGGGCCAGGTAGGCACCTGTCACTTGGGGTGTGCGCTGTCACGCACGGAGCAGTGTCTGTGCCTCTTTTCGTTTTGCTAGTTTAGCTCTAAGCTATGGATTGTGTAACTGACTTTGTTATAACTATTAACAAGTGTAGTGGGAAAGTGTATCTCTGTTAAGCCTGTGTCCGCCTCCCCGGCCGGGTGGCCTATGTTGCACTAAGTTGTGATGGTCGTCAGTAGCCATTAGATGTCTGGGCGCACTTTGGCGTTATCTGGTGTGTGTGCTTACCGGAGCTGTTCCTTGAGTGCTGAGTCCTTTGGGGCCTGCATGTGGGGCATCCATTTGTGTGTCTATGGCAGTATGGTAGGGGGTCGGTCCCTTATGTTTATCTCTGTCTGGTTGCGGGGTTATCTGAGGGTCTCCTATATGTCTCCCCTGTTGTGGGCAAAATCATGTGTCTGTGTGCTCAGATGAGTGTGGGTGTCCGAGTCCCAGTGCTTTGTTGTGGGTGGTACTTGGGTGGTCGGTCCGGGTCTCTGGGGGTCTAGCTCACCCCAACATTCTCTCTACTCTTCGGCTATTATATCCGGTCCTGCGTCTCCCCATTATCTCACCCTCCCGCCCTCCCCCCATCTCGTTTATCCCTGTGGGGTTTACGTGTTTAGCTGGGTGCTATCCTTGTTGGGTACATCATTCCCGTCCTTGTCTGTACCTCTCCCTCCACTCCCCCCCGTGTTGCTACGCTTCTCCATATCCTGTGTGTGTGCGTTTGGGATGTTTGACTTTGCCTAATATATCAGACCTTGTCAGTGCAAAGTTCCTCAAGTTCAAGACTTCATATCCTGTATCCCCCCCTCCACCCCTCCCCTCTGCAGCCCCTTAGTCCGTATTCCCGTGTCCATGCATAGCTCTCTGTTGTCAAGCTATTGCTCAGAGCCGTGGTGTTCCGCCCCATGAGTTGTTTTCAAGGAGTCCCAAACTGGCAGGCCCTCCCACCCGGCACCCTCCCAATCTGAGCTTGGTTCTGGGCTCTGGGCTGTCCGTACTCGGTTTGCCTGTATTCTCCTGTTTTGTGCCGGTCTGTCTCCGTGTCCACTTCCGGCTTCCAGAAGGCTACAAGACAGGTAATCTCTTACCATCTCCTTCTATCTTAATCCGGTGCCCTCTAAGTGTCCCCAGGTCCCCCTCCCAATATCGTCCGATCGCCCCCTCAGTCCCCCAGTCCCACTGTGTGCTCCTTGTACAGTTTACTCACCAGCCGCCTTTGCCTCTCGCCACCGGCCTTTTACTCCTCTGCTCCTGCAGGGCTGCCCAGCGGCGCTGCTGTGGCGGGCTCCTGCTATGTTGTGTTCCTGTTGCGTGTAGAGGGGCCAACGGGTCTCTTCTCGCTGCCAGCGCCTCCTCTGTTATCCAGTTTCGAACTCTAATCGATGGTAGGTGCAGTGCTCTGAGGAAGCCCGGGCAATAATTTTAATGTAGGGGCATGTTCTTATAGTGCCCGTCGGCTGTTACACGTTTGCTCTCATTGTTTCAGGGCACACGCAAAAGCCATGTGCCCAAATAAATTGCATCTTAAACCCTATTTGACCTCGGTTAATGTTGGTGTTCTAGCTAATCTGCTATCCACTCATCCTTCTAAAGATCGCGTTGAGTTTTTGATTGGAGGTTTTACCCAGGGTTTCCACGCGGGCCTTATTTACATGCTTTTGGAATGTAACAATCTACAATCAGCCATGGCCGACACAGAGTCAGTAGAGGTGTTATTACAAATAGAATGGGAAAAAGGGTTTGTATTAGGGCCATTCAAAGAACCTCCTTTTTCTAACTGGTCACCAGGAAAAACACGGGTAAGCAGAGATTGCTCATAGATCTCTGTACCACACTCCTCAGTAGTCTCTAGCCTTAACTCTCTGATCCCCTCTGAACAGTTCTCAATGCAGAACACTACGATTGACAATGCTGTTGAAGCTATTATATCAGCAGGCATTGGGGCTTGACTTAACAAGACGGACATCGTCAATGCTTTTAAGGTATTATCCATACATCGGGTTATGCCACCTGCATTGCATTAAGTGCAAGGGTCTCTACTATTTTTTCACGAGGCTCACCTTCGGGTCGAAGAAAGTCCAAACATTTTTGGCACTTTTGCAGAAACCTTGTGATGGCTCCTCCTGAATACTTGCCGGTGTCATGATGATATCCATTATCTGGACGATTTTTTGTTCATCAAAAGTAATTCATCCCCCCCAGGCAGTTTAGACAAGGCAGCCAAGTTATTCTACACATTAGGGGTACCAGTATCACATAAGAAGACGGAGGGTCCAGACACCATAATCAATTTCCTTGGGATCCGGCTTGATTCTGTGGCCATGGAAGCTAGCCTACCTCAAGGGAAAATTACTAGAATCCTACACGACATAGATCACTACTGTAGAATATTGCATATGCAGATGGTATAAGTCACAAGTCTTTCTTTGTCTGAGAGGTCTGGAATGTAAGTTGGGGGTTTTGTCCTTATATGGCTAGAGTAACACTCTGATGTTAGTATGGGCAGATCTATATAGTCAAAGGGACACAAGGTCTATCTCTCTTGCTCTCTCTGTAAGGATGTAACTCTTCCTTCAGAAGTCCAGCAATTACCATATGCTGTTGAACATCCATTATCCTGTAACATCCTTTTTTGTTTTATTATGTATCAGTAACTAAGAATAAACCTGAAGAAACAATAAGTCAGATTGCATATTAGTACATTTCATTAATATAGTTGTATATTAATATAGTGAGCTTTTGGCCCAAGAGTATATATACAAAAGACGTATATATTAATCAATTGAAGAAAAGAGAAGGAAATTTTTACAACTACATACAGACTGGTTCCTGTAATCACTGATGAGCTCGCTAAATTTTGCAATGCGGCTCATCCCACAAGGTAGAGTGTTCATTTCCAGACTCCTGAGCCTTCTCCCCACATTCCCGATGATTACAGTCGCTAAATGAGGACCACCTGTATATGTATAATATATTTTAATTTAATTTTTTTACTTTTTAGCAGCCTGGGGGACTGCCTGACAGCTCAGACAGTCCCCCTGCTGGCAGCTCCTAGAGTCCTATTGCGGCGATGTGATTATGGTGAGCACATGGCCCTGGAGGGCCGGGGTGGCCAGAGCTGCTGCAGAGGGACTGCTGGGGTCACCGACAGTCCCACCCGACCATGATCGCCGCGGTTTGCCAGTCAGTCCAGGTAAGTCCAGGGCTCCTATTTGCCACAGACGTACTAGGTAAGTCTGTGGTCCTTAACAACCGTTTTTTGTCGGACGTACCTAGTACGTCCATGGGTGTAAAGGGCATGTACATAGATAGATACATAGATATATATATTTAATTTCATTCTAAGTGTATTTTGATATAAATATATATATATCTATATATATATATATTTATATTAAAATACACTTAGAATAAAATGAAATATATATAAAGTTTTTTAAAATTATTTTTACAGTCTATTTATTTTAATTATTTATTTTTTTATAATTTATATATATTGTTGTGGACAAAAATATTAACTCAATTTATGTTAGTAAAATGTCTATTTACTCAGCATACCTACAGTCAGCATTATTCAACTCTATATGTGATTTACTTAAAATGGCCGCTAGGGAGTTTCCCTTTGACATCGACTAACACCCTCACTAACGAGATGGCGCTGGGATCTGGGGGAGACCTCCAAGATACCAGTGACATCACACCCAGTAGGAAGAGCAATAAATGAACCACTTAACACCTAACCAATTATTAATGTATTATTTCATGTTATCTCTGACAAAGCATATGATGTAATTTTGCTTTATAAGGGGCATGCCGTCCCCTCAGAATAAACATTCCTCAAGTTTTTCATTAACCTGAAACCTGTGTCTGGTATGAATTACTTAAGGAGCATGCACGCACTACTGCTTTAATTTGGCCGGGGGCAGATACACAAGATAATCAATTGATTGATTGATTCCACATCATTTGGTGCCCAACGTGGGGCACCGGATTTCGCCGGTTCGGACGGCCGGAAAACAGGACCGGAGCAGACATCCGGAAAGTGGGACATTCGGAGCCTGATCACCTCCTAAATACAACGGTTTGCCTGTATTTTCCTGTTTTGTGCCGGTCTGTCTCCGTGTTCACTTCTGGCTTCCAGAAGGCTACAAGACAGGTAATCTCTTATCCGGTGCCTTTTAAAACGAACCTGTTGATTGTCTATCTGCCTCCTGAGTGTATGTATGCTTGTGAGACAGCTGGTGTGTAGTTTATTACTATTTTTTATTATTATAGCTTGACTGCCTAGCGGGCAGGGAACGCATCCGCCCAGTGAAGGGCTGGGATCCGCCTAGAGAAAGGCTGGGAATTTTGCTGTACTGTTCAGAGTAGAACAGGGTTTAATTTGCTGTTTAGTCGTTACTATGCTCGTTGTTATATTGTTCTTTATTATTCTTTGGTTTCTATTCTTTTATAGCCAGAGTGTGGGTACCCTAGTTGTGTGTGTGTGTTGTGTGGCTCATCCTTGATTTCGGATTATGTGCACATCTCTACATCTGTGACTCGTGTAAATGTCTTCTGATTAGTCTCTCCACGTTCACCTTTTCCCTTATGCTCTACCTCTTCTGTACTTGCTGCCCAGAACTGTGTTAGTCACCCACGCTCTCCCACTCAGATCCGTAGCCACCATCTCGGGTGGGCGGATCCCGTGACTAGTCTACGTTTTGGGAAGACGCACGAGGATCAATTCCTTGTGGAAGTCGAGCACTGTAGAGATTCCTTCTTTTTCTTCTCTCTCTCTGTGTCCCTCGTACGTGGGCAGCCTTGTTTGGTAAAAATGGGACAAGAACATGCCAGACCTTCTGAAGGCTTGTGATATTGTTAAGCTTGTGATATTGTTAAGGAGAGAGCAGTAGAATAGGCTATATTAAAAATGAAGGAGATAGCAAAGATTTGTGGTTTTCAAATGTCACCCAGTGGTAGATTACAACCAGAGTTTTGGAGGAAATTACCTGTTGATAAAGAGGGTTTGTTACTGGATAACGGGTTAACGAAAGCCGTAGAGGCTTGGTATCGGGTAGCAAGGGGACTCAAGCGGGAGGTTTGGTCAGAGGAAGAACTAAATTTTGAAGGACAAACGGTTTATGTATATCACATGTTTGCAATGATGATTCATCTCTTGATGTTCCCCGACCACTGCCCTATGATGGCACCGAGAGCACTGTGAATGAATCTCGCCCCGCCTCCCCCATCACTACCCAGTCGCCACCCCCCATTGCCAAAGGCCCTCCTCTGTCCCAATCCCTCTGTACCCCGTCCTCGGGGCGGATGCATCTTATGATTACCCCGTCCCTCTCCCGCCTCATGCCACCATTCCCATTACCCCAGCCCCTCTCCCATTTCCCTCTGGTCCCGTCTCTCTTCCACCTTCCCTTGTCACTGCCAAGCCCGTCCCTCTACTATCTCCCCCGTCACTTCTTCCGATGCCACCCATCTCCTTCTATCACTCCTCCTATTCCTGCTCCCCTCCCATCTTTACCTGCTGCCTCCCCCTCGTTCTTCTCCCTGACATTCCTTCTATTCCTCTTCCCCCCCCGCCTTCACCCGTTGTTCCCCTTGTTATATCTCCCTCTACTGTATCTCCCTCTTCCCTTGCTATTCCCTCTATTCCTACTCCTCCCTCTCCTCTCCCCATCACCCCTCCTGTTCCAGATTCCCCTCCCCTTCCCGCTTCCCACCCCATTGTCCCTCCCTCCTTTGATCTCTCGTCACTTATTTCTACAGCGCCACTCCCTCTACTCCTCCACCTCCCTCTCCTCTCCCCACAGCCCCTTCCGTCCCAGTTCCCGATTCCCATCCCCTTCCTGTCTCTAACTCTGTTGTCCCTCCCTCTTTTGATCTCTCGTCACTTATTTCTGCCCTCTCTGCCTCCAACGCCACTCCCTCTACTCCTCCACCTCCATCTCCTCTTGCCACCGCCCCTTCCATCCCAGTTCCTGATTCCCATCCCCTTCCTGTCTCTAACCCCGTTGTCCCTCCCTCTTTTGATCTCTCGTCACTTATTTCCGTCCTCTCTGCCTCCAGCGCCACTCCCTCTACTCCTCCACCTCCCTCTCCTCTCCCCACTGTCCCCTCCACCCCAGTTTCTGATTCCCATTCCCTTCCTATCTCTAACCCTCTTTTGATCTTTCGTCACTCGTTTCCACCCTCTCTGCTTATTTGCCTCAGCCTACCCAACCCGTCCCCTCACCCGTTCCAACTCCTGTCTCCACCTCCCTCATGACGGCTTCCAGTTATATGATTATTGTAGTTGGCTCGAATGAATCTACCATGTCGGGACAACCTCATGCTGTAGGCGTTTCTCCTGCAGCGTCAGGCTTCCATACCACTGCCTCCCAGTTAGTTACCCCCAGGCCATCGCTGTTGGTTCCCCTGGCTCCGATGCTCCAGCCGCTCAAGCCCCTAATTCACCAGATGTTGCCAGCTATCGTGGTCTCCCATTTCCGGTCCCCCCCCGAGGATGACAATGTGCAGGGGCTCAGCCCATTCCGTCCTTCGGGTAATAGGATTTCCCAGAGACAGGTCTCCCATATCCATGCCTTATCATCAGTGGATGTTACTTTCAATCCCTGCCAAGCTGCAACCCTAGTAACCTCTCTCCCCGACCCTGAGAAGCAGCCCATGCCCTTCTTCCGGAGGGTTGCCCAGATTCGTAAAACATACTCAGCAGCCTGGCGTGATCTGTACAGTCTGTGTGAGACCAAGGCTGGGGATGCCTATTGGTCCATTATAGAATGGAGTTTTAATGACGCTCTCCTCACTACCGACATGGATGTCAATGATAATGACATTATACAAGATAAACTCGAGTCCGTGGAGAAGTACCATTCACGATTGACTCAAACTTTCTCAGACCTAGGGTTCAGTGCACACAACAAAGCACATACCCAGATGTTATCTGCTGCCTTTGTTGCAGGCCTTAAAAAAGCCATCAGGAAAGGCCTAATGCCCTCCCATCCCGAATATAGAATTATTCCTCTGGATACTCTCTTACTGGTTGCCAAAGGCCTAGAGTCTGTTCTACAACCACCACAAAGGAAAAATAAACCCCTTATGTTTTCCGCTTATAACCCTGCCATCAGACCCGCCCTGGTCCCCCCAGGATATCCCGTGTCATCTACCCTACCAGCTGCACAGGGACAGCCCATGATACCCTAGGCCTCAGACTAAGGCATGCTTTAATTGCAACCAACTGGGCCATTTCCGGAGAGATTGCCCTCACCCCAGAATGCCTAGACAGCCGACCACTAGACCGTCTAATCCTGTGTTCGGCTATCCTATGTACCCCAATGCCCCTGCAGCCACATATGGTTGTTTTCCTCCACAGGTACGTCCCCAGGCACATACTTCGTATTTCCCTCCTCAGGAATATGCCCAAGCCATCTACCAACCCTCTCCAGCTGATACCCGCAGCTATGCTCACCCTTCCCCAGATAGTTATGATACAGATGATTACCAACCAGATGACCGTCCTGTACCCAGTCAACATCGCCCTACACGCCAGACTCATCAGGCCAATCATTCCACTATACCCACATGTCGCTACTCTGGCCCTGATCAATCTCATCTAGACCTTGTGCAATAGGTAACCGGCAAAACCTGTGTCTAACACCCCTGTCATGGCAGAGTCTACAGTGGACAAAGGGGGGCCTCTTGCCACAGTTGTCCTACCCGTTGAGGGTCATCCTACTACCTTTTTAGTTGACACAGGTGCAGCCTGCAGTGTTCTCAGAGAACAAAACCTGCCTGACCCATCTTGCTTATCCTAAAGATGTCTCTTGTGTTGGTGTCGATGGCGCCCCTAGAAACAACCCATTAACTAAGCTCTTGCGGGTGGGTACTGACATACTCTCACGCTTTGTTGTTTCTTCCACTTGTCCAGTTAACCTTTTAGGTGCTGATGTTCTGTCCCGTCTTCAAGCCTCTCTCTCTTTCACTGCTGATAGCCAGGTCCAATTATTAACCCCCCCTTTCTCGCAAAGATACTTCTGTCCTCTGCTCTCTGCCCTTACTACTACACATGACATCCCCCACCGAGGAGGTAAGGGTCCCAGATGCCCCCAGTGCCCTGGATAGGGTCCCAGCTAAACTTTGGTCTTTGATGACATTGGACGCCTACAAGTCCCACCTGTGGTAGTTACATTAATGAAGGGAGCTACTCCACCACGACGACCACAATACCCATTGAAGCCTGCACAAGCCCTCGCCATCTCAAAGTAAGTTGAAAGTCTATTGTCAAAAGGTGCTCTGGTCAAGTGTGTTTCACAGTGTAACACCCCTCTATTTCCAGTAAAGAAGAAGACTGAAAAAGGCCAACCTGACCAATACCGTATAGTTCAAGACCTCCGCGCCGGAGACGTTTTGTTTCTGAAAAGATGGGCCATGCTTCAGGGGTCCTTACACAATCACATGGTTCCCGTCAACGTCCTATTGGTTATTTTTCATGCAGGCTGGACCCCCTGGCTCGAGGCGGTCCTTCTTGTTTATGTGCTGTGTTTTCTGCCAGTGCCCTGCTGGACAAAACTAATGACTTTGTTCTCTGACATAAACTCACTGTCCTTGTTCCCCATGATATCACGGCCATCCTGAACCAAGTCCAACCAAAACACCTCTCCTCCCAGAGACACCTCCGCCTTGAAGCCTCCCTCCTCTTGCCAGATAACATCACTCTACAAAGATGTTACTCTTTGAACCCGGCCACTCTTCTGTCTCTTCCCAAGGGGGGAGTACCACAATACTGGTACAGTCTGAACATAAATCCTGATGTTCACATGGACCTTCAAGTGAAAAAGCCCATGGCTCCATATG